AAAGGAGTGGCTAATATTAACTTCTGTTTGGCGCATAAGCACAAACAACAGTCAGAACCTGTCCCCAACATGTAGGCTGAGGGAGGCTAACCTCTCGTTCACTGGGGTGAACCCCAACGTACAGGCAAAAAGATGGGAGGCAACAAATATGCCCACTCCTGCTCTACGCCTCTCACCAGGGGCTACTCCATAGTGGAAGAGTGTCCAACCCCTCTCAAGGATGTGGCTAAGTAGCTTTAAACATCTGTTAAGTTCCTGGCAAAAACCAATGCAGACATGTTCTTGTTTTTAGTATTCTACACAGCCTCATAATCTAGCTGTTTTTTCGTGGTTTCTTTTTCTTTTATCATTTTGTTTTCAATTGTTAAAAAAATGACTCATTTGTGAATGTCTATTGTTGTCGTTGTTATCCACTGTTGTCATCACTCTATGTTAAAATCCATGTCTCTCTTGTAAATGAGTCCTCGTGGCTCAATGGGACTAACCTGTTTAGGATTAGGGAATGTGCCGATCAGCTCTGTGAGGTGCTAGCCGACGTCTTTAACACCTCACTTACCCTGGCAACAGTTCCCACCTGCCTGAATAATGTCACCATCAACCCAGTCCCAAAGAGCTCTACAATGACTGGTCTGAATGACTATCGGTACCAGTAGCCCTCACTCTTATAGACGCTAAACGCTATGAAAAACTTGTCATGATCCACATCAAAACAACCATAAACATCAACGAGGACCCTCATCAGTACGTATATCGTGAGAACCGATCAACAGGGGATGCCATCTCCTCTGTGGTCCACACTGCTCTCACCCACCTGGAGCAGAAGGACTCTTACGTCCGTATGCTCTTTGTGGACTTCAAATCTGCCTTCAACACCATGATCCCCCAAACCCTGATGGACAAACTACTCACACTAGAACTAAGCCCCTCCATTTGCAACTGGGTCCTAGTCTTCTTAACAAACAGACCACAGTTAGTGAGGATCCACAACTTCTCTTCCTCCACCATAACCCTCAGCACCGGCTCCCCTCAGAGATGTGTGCTGAGTCCTCTCCTGTTTACTCTGCTCACGTATGATTGTACATTCTGTGCTCCAGCATCAACGCGTGGCATGGAGGCTGCACAGAAGTCTGTTGGGAGTCAGTCTCCCCACCATCACAGACATTTACACCTCTAGATGCAGGAAGAGGGCAACCTGCATCATGAAGGACCCCACTCACCCAGCACACACACTTTTTGCCCCGCTCCCCTTGGAAAGGAGGTTAAGGAGCATTAAATGCTGAACCACTAGACTGAGGAACAGCTTTTACCCTGAGGCTGTTAGACTCATTAATATCTAACCAGGATAATCACTGTGAAAAATCACATCATGTTGCTGCTGATCTGTTTCATGCTGCTGTGTTCATGCGTGCTCATCTGCTCACACAGACTCATGTTTGTGCTGCTGTTTGACTTAATGTTTCTATTCTATTAGTGCTTAGTATATTATTTAGCTGATGTTTTTCTTAGTTCATATCTTAGATCTTATTACTCTTTTTCTTTTACATTTTATTGTTGGATTTAACTGGGACCTTGCGTACATAATTTCATTTCACCACATGTACCACATGTGATGCGAATGACAAATAAATCTCTCTGACTCTGTTTAAATAAAGGTTGAATGAAAAAAAGGAAACTGGTTCCCAAGCCAGAGCCATGCGTTGAGGTCAGTCAGACTATTTCTAATCGGAACCTCTCAACTTCACACACCAGCTCAGGCTCCTTCCCCACCAGAGAGGTGACATTCTACGTCCCAAGAGTCAGCTTTTGTAGCCGAGGATCAACCTGCCTAGGTCCCCACCCTCAGCCACCACCCATCCCACATTGCACCCAACCCTTTTGACCCCCCCCCCACGCCCCCCCACCCGCACACATACACAGTTGGTGAGCCCAGGGGGGGGGGTAGGGGGAAGGGGCTTATATTATTACCTGCAAAATACTTATTTGTATTAATTAATTCTACTTGCACTGTTATAGTCTACTACCATGTTGTTGTTTACTATTTCTTTTGAAACTTGTAAATTTTATATTTCTTTTTCATTTTTGGTACTTTATATTGTACCCTTATTGCTAGCATGCTTTAGTATTTCTTGTTTGTTTGTTTTATTGTTTTTAGCAAGGCAAATTGGTTCTTCTAATCCTGAATATTTCATTGAATTGTTGACCTTGTGTTAACCTGCATATGACAAATAAACAACATAAAATAACATAACAATTGGGTCACTGTAGGGTAATGATGGTTGTACCTGATTGTGGTCAACTTCTGTGTCTCCAGAAATTACAATTCTTTTCTCAATTCTGGTTTCTGAAATTCCTCCTTTCACTGTCTGAAAATTAAATGGTACAAAGATATGAAATCAGAAAACTGAAACAGATAATTTTAGTTTCAGCAACATTTTCCATATTTCTGTAGTGATATATGTATAGAATATTGGACTTCTGGTCCGGTCAAACTCCTACCCTTTAACAGGTATTTACACTCACGTAACCTGGACCGGCCTCACCTCAAACATATATAAATCATGAGTTCTTCTAGCGAACTTAATTCCTATCCCTCGAAGAAAGACCAAGAATCCGGTGATTTAAATACACAATTCTGTAACATTTATTTTCAATTTTAATTATGACAATAAGTTATGGCAAATATGGAATAAGAATGAACAGCCAATAGTATTATTTCAGAAAGTAAATGACGTAAATCTGGAGACTTTGAGAAGGAGTTTTTAGATTCAATTTTGGACTAAGGTTCTTAGCTCTTAATGTTAAAATTTAGGTAAGATTATCTCAGATTCGTGAATTAAATTATCTAAACAGAGTTGGCACTTAGAGTGGTTCTCTCATTAGAAGGAAGATGTTCTCGTCCTACCATGGAGATGTTCATTCTCATTACCACGGTGGATGCGATGACTTTGGGGCAGGAGGTTCATGTGGTCACTCAAAAAGGGATGTTTCTTCTCGAGACTACATCTCCTCCAGCAGCGTGCATCATTCCTCAGGTGTTTGAGGTTCAGGACATCCACCATCTCTCACCAGAACACTTCTTCCATCATGGCTGTTGTTCAGAGTCTCTTTTCAGATACCCTCTGCTATGTGGAAAATGACCACTCATTCCATCTGCTCAGCTCAGCTGCCGCTCAAGCCAACTTTCTTCCTTGGCTGTCGTGGCTCAACTCCCAGTGTTCTGTATACCTGACCTCTTTATACAAGGTGGGCCCTTTTAATTTTTAACCAATCAGAGGGCTTCTTACAGTGGGAGTATCCCCCTGTATAACTTAATGTAATTAAACCTCCCTTAAAGTCTCAGAAGGTAATACAATGGCTTTTGTTAATGAGTGGCACCATTGCGTAAACACCTTTTCTTTTAGAAAAATGTAAGTTAGATTCTGGCAACATGCTGATACAAACAAATTAGTTTCTTTGAATCAGAACTTCAACTGGGTGTTAGCTTCCTCTATTGTCATGGCATCCTATCTCTGTTGATAAGGCAAAGTGACATTCTTTGATCAAAATCTTCTTTTAAGAGACACAAAATCTAAACTAATCATCATATATTGAATACGTCAAGGTGGTCGGTGGGGGGGTGGGGGGTAGAAGGAAGCTTCCTGTGTGAAAACAGAATGCCAGTATCTGTCCCAGATCAGCAGAGAGGGAGGGCATAGGAGACGCAGTATCTCTAAGGACATAAGTCTTTGAGGACGGATGGATGGATGCTTTATTCCCCCACTTGCGATTTACAACTTGGGTACCTTGTAGGTGAATTGCAACTAAGCGTCCTTGTTTTAGGAGTGTTCAAAAGAGTCACGGTTGACAGATCTATGAATGAAACAGGAAGTCGAGGATGTTCCACAAAGTTTGACAGATAAATCCACAAAATGAAACAGGAAGTTGAGGGTATTCCACAAAGTCCAAAGGATAAATCCATAGAAAGGGAAACAAAAATAATAAAAGTATTACAACTGGTGTCCACGATGTCCTCTAGAGGGCATGGTGAAGTAGACCAAGTATGATGGTGTAGACCAAGGCTGATGATGGTATAGACCAATGACGATTATGGCGTAGACTGGATGGTTTGTATGGTGACTAGTGCCAACTCAGTATACAATTTGTCTATATAATGCGAATAAGTAAAATAAATCTTAAAACGTATGTCTAATGTCAAATCAATTGATAACTAAATTGTTCTAAGTTTGTTAAGTACGCTAAATCAAAAGGTACTGATAATAAAATAAGAGACTCTAACGCCACTGATTTTGTATATGCATCCATGACATAGGGGTTGTATAGGTTAATGATTAAATGTTAAATGGGAATTAAACATGCAATAGGAGAATTTGAAAAATAAAATTAAAAAATCGGAAGTATGGAACTATGGGTCTTTAAGAGTTCCACACTTCATAGACATAGATGATGGTTGGGCTTCTATGTCTAATAATTCTGTATGTTGGAGTGGATTACGCCAGTGGTTAGTGTTCAGTGGAGTTTAAAAACCAAACTTTTAACATGCTGATCAGCTGATTTTGAGCACAAACAACAAAATAATCTCAACGGCAACCCGAAGTTATTCAACCCCCACTTGTAGGTTACAATCTTTCCCGATGATCGATAGTTGTTTTACTTCTAGTCTGATCTTGTGGTCAAGAAAAGTTGATTTTTCCTTAAAGGTTTATTGTTATTAGGTCTAAGGTGTTTTGCCTTACCTATTTATTTGTGAGTATACACATACCACTTTCTGAATATACTGAAGCTGTTGATTGGCTCAGGTCTATCCATGGTCACACTGTTACCTTTGTGATGTGTGTGGTGGTGGTGGTGTTGGACACCTCTGTTGTGAAGGTCTGAGAGCTCAGCAGCAGACCTGAAGGGGAATCAGAATCCACTTGACTCTGAAACAGAACACATGCTGATCAGGAAAACTCTAAAAACTTCCTGAAACAGAACTGATGACAAACAAATGCTTTTGTCAAAATGAAATCTAATTAGCTGGAAGTGGCTAGTTGTAAGTCAAATGATAGTTCTAAAACAACTTAAAGCCAAAACATGTGTCCTGTTTGTAGGACAAACTGTATGATGACCTGGCAACCTAGCAGGTTTCAATTCAGTCTTCAGTAATGCTCTTGGCACCAGGACACCTTAGGCCGCAGTTTGATGATCGACTTTGTTGTCATCTCATCTGATCTGCGGCCACATGTCTTGGACACTCAGGTGAAGAGAGGGACGGAGCTGTCCACTGACCACTACCTGGTATTGAGTCGGCTCCAATGGTGGGGGAGGATGCCGGTCAGACCTTGCAGACCCAAATGTATTGTGAAAGTCTGCTGGGAACGTCAGGCAGAGTCTCCTGTGAAATGGCGCTTTAACTCTCACCTCCGGGAGAGCTACGAACATGTTCCGGGGGAGGCGGGGGACATTGAGTCGGAGTGGGCCATGTTCCACGCCTCTATTGTCGAGGCGGCTTATTGGCACTGTGGCCGCAAGGTTGTTGGTGCCTGTAGCGGTGGTAACCCTCGAACCCGGTGGTGGACACCGGCGGTGAGGGATGCTGTCAGGCTGAAGAAGGAGTCCTATCGGGCCTTTTTGGCCTGTGGG